AAAGCAGGACAGATAAGCAAGGAAGATTGCATCCTAATAGAACTGTCAAGTAATAAAAATGATTAGTCCATCCGCTGTTTGGCATTTAACATCTTGGTTCACGAACCTGTTAAAATAAACACTGAAGTGTCTCACAGATAGCTGATACAGTACTTGAAAGACATTTATACTACATTTCTACAATAGGAAAGTTGGGCAAAGGATCATACTGCTGCTTACAAGATCAAAGGCAATCAACAGTTTTATCATGTGGGACTTCCAACACCCAGAATTCTCCAGCTGGCAAGCTGGCTGACTGGGGAATTCTGGGAGTTGAAATCCATATTCCTTGAAGCTGCCAAGACTGAGAAACACTGATATAAATGAAACAAAATTAGCACTATTAATTGTTTAGCATAGGTTAGTAGGCTGCTAGAATATACCACTGCAGTGCGGTAGATTAAACCAAGAAATCTAAAACTCCCCATGAAGAAAATGATGGCAAACTCCTTCCATATTATGCCAAGAAATCTATGTAAAAATGTCCATAAAATTAATAGGAGAAAAGTTTGACTCAGAGGTGAGTGTACCTTTTTCAGTGGATGGAAACTAGAATGTTAAAGCCACAACAATGGGCTTAATGAAAACATACTTAGACAAAACCATGTATTATGTTCAGCAAATTATTCCAAGAGTATTTACTGAATTTAAAAAGTGCAAATAACTTGGCAATATGGTTCCTTTTGTAAAGGACAGTTTTAAATAAAATCAAATTTTAATTCCACCTTCTAAACTGGCAGTGAATCAATTCACTGCTGATGACTGCTGCTCTGACTCTTAAAAAATAATTCTTTCATTAACAACCAGATTCCATACATAGCTCTCTTGCACATAAGTAAGATTGCAAAAACAACACATGAAAATTCAGTTAAACCCAGATATGCCCAAAAGTTCTCTATCTGGGAAATCTTCTCCCATCCTTACATAGCTCCAACCTTATTGGTTCTAGAATTGGGGAGAGGACCTGTCACCCACCTCATGCTGCTGAATTATATATAGGTTTCATTGGACACATGGACTAATTCTTGTTCAACAGAATTCAGGGTTCCCTAGCATCTTTCCTCTTTCCTCCAATATGGGTGAAAGCAGGAGTTCTCGATACCTTCACTTTCCATCTGTACAATACAATCATCCTTCCTCTGTCATCCAGTTAGAAACAGTTGGTATGGAAAAGAACAAGAGCAAGTGATCCCAAGTGAAAAGACAAAAAGGTTGGTCTAATACAGGGGTCCCCAAACTTGACAACTTTAAGACTTGTGGACTTCAACTGAAGAGTTGAAGTCTACAAGTTTTAAAGTTGCCAAGTTTGGAGACTTCTGGTCTAATAAAGTCAGAGGGGAAACCTGAAAGTGAAAGAGAAATGCATGAAAAGACAAGACAAGCAAGCCAGTTAAAATAGCCTATATGTCATGCCCCTGTTGGAGTCTGAGAGTCTGGAGAGATGGAACTGCTGACAGGGAGTGTGAGCGTGGCTCCGGTGTTTGTGGAGGAAACTGGGGAAGGGCACAGGCCAGATGGACATTCAGAGGAAGACCCAGGCCCATCCATTCTTCATCCTAGGGCACACAGAGAGGAGCAGATAAGGGAGAAATGTGAGTGGCATGGTCTACAGGGGAGGAAAGGGCCCTGATCCCCTTCATGGTCTGCAGCTGGGAGGACTGTTTAAAAGGACAAACTACACATGGCAAAATTGCTGGAAGCAAAGCGTGCATTCTTGTCGGAACTTGTGTTTTGGCTTCCTCCCAACTGTGGTTGCTGCGTTATCTGGTAGAAGTCTGCAATTAATCATCTGTGGTGTGTTGGGTTTTTTATTTCAAATTAACTTTACTTTGGGTGAGGACTGCATTTACTCCCTCCATAAACTGTTTTCTTTAAGAGTTTGATATCCAGCCGAGAAGAATTGGACATTGTAGCCAAGTTGGAAGCATTAAAGGGACTTCCTTCTATTTTTGTGACTTGGTTATTTTTGTGTCATGCCCTGGGTCATCACACTATTTATAACAACACACTGACACAATGGTAGGACAGTCTCCTTGAATTTAACACTCTCCAGATGAGAATTATATGCATTCCAACCTGGGGGGTGGGGGGGGAATAAGGTTGAAAGAGAGACAAGTCAGGCCCATATTTTCATCATAGTCCCTAAGACCTTCCATAAGTGGCTCTGATTATGGGAGTTAATACACTCCTGTTGAAGACTTGATGGAGGAAGCCACGGTTGTTTAATGGCGACTTGGATGAAGAGTCTCTAGGTCACTCTCTTGCCCTGGAGGTGACAAATCCTCTCTAAAGGAACAACTAGCCTGGTCAATGGCATAGCATGTGGAAAAGATCTTGTTCTTACCACATCCTTCTCTGCCATGGTCAGCCATGAGTCAAAGCAGACAATAATGACTCAAACTCAACCCATTCAACTTTGTTCACTTGAATGAACAAATGGTAAAACTAGAAAGGCGACTATACAGGCAGAGTTGGAGTGCCCTGGCTGCCAAAGTACAATTATTTATTTGTTTGTCAAACATGTACAAGATAACAAGTATAGGTAGGAACATAAAAATGAGCAAAGGAAGTAAATACAGATAAATGGGGACAATAAGACAGGAATGGTAGGCACACTAGTGCGCTTATGCACGCCCCCTTTAAGGATCTGTTAAGAATGGGGTGAATTCCACGATAGACAGTTTGAGGTTGAAGCTGTGAGGGGCTATGGCTGTAACAATGGAGTCGGGTAGGGTGTTCCAGGCATTGACCACTCTGTTGCTGAAGTCGTATTTTCTGCAATTGAATTTGGAGCGGTTTACCTTGAGCCACAAAATTATACTTTGTGCAATTCTCACGCCATGATTTATTTGCATGGCAGCATCAGGAATCAAGAACCAATACTTAGGTGTTACAAATGTAGTAGTGACATGCATCTGTCAGTCATTCAAAGTGGTCCCAAAAATGGCAAAGAAAGGGGAGGTGGACAAATGTGATCAGTATTGGAGATTATAATGGCATCCTTTGTTCATTGTTACTCTTCAATTTTACGGCATTGGTAAGTCAAGGTTTAGAAAATGTATCTATGAAAAGGTCTATTACATCTTGTTTTCAATGCCCATGAAGGCTGGCTAATATTTGCCTAATTAAGAACTACGGGATGAAATATAAAGTACTAAATCCCAAAGAGATCAGGCATTTCAGTTGCTTTGGAGTGGAATTCAGCACCTTGGGTGTCACATTATCCATCAGCAGAGAAACATAGCATCTGGCAGGATTGTCCCCCACAGATATCTGTCCCACAAAAGATGATTCCATTAGCCATCCTGGTTAATAGCCATTCATAGCATCATCTTTTAATTTGTCTGAACTAGTAGCTGAAACTGCATCTGAAGTAGCACACTGAATTCCATCAATTAATTGGGCTCAATGCGCAGGAGTACTTCAAACTGATGAATAATAGATCAAAACAGATCAAATCACTTCACAGCAACAAGATATCTAGGAGAGAAAATCTGTGTGCCAGGGAGACATTAGACACTATCAGTGGATTAAGTAACATTGGACTCACAGAATTGTTAGCTGCTAAGCAGGGTTTTTTTTGGCAGCATGGATCTTTATACCACATATGTTTTTCTGATCCTTAAGCATTCGTCACTAATATCATCAGACATGAGAAACCGTGGGAAGAGAGCTGTGTTAGTCTACGGAGGCAAAAGATCTGATAAAGTGATCCCAGGCCTTTTAATTAAAAAAAATTGTTTGCCGGAAAAGGGACTTTCAGGAATTTAGTTTATCACACCTGCTGCCCTGCCTGCCCTCCTTGCCTGGGTTCCTTTCACAGGCACAAGGGAATGGAAGCACCTGTCTCACCTCCCCACATAATTGCAAAATAGTTCAAAACACGGGGACTTCCCATTTATAGTATGCACAAGTCTGAAATTTCCAATTCTCTGTTCCTTTATTGCACCCACGAGAGACTCGGACAAAACAAAACTCTCCATATCCCTGTTTCTCAACCTTGGCAGCTTTAAGATGGTTGCGCTTCAACTCTCAGAATTCCCCAGCCAGCCTTGGCTGGTTTGCCAGAATTTCCTGGCCAACTAACCGGCTAGGGAATTCTGGGAGCTGTAAGTCCATCCATCTTAATTTTAAAGATGCCAAGGTTAAGAAACACTGCTCCAACTGCATTCCGTTTGGTATGAAAGAAACAGCCTGCTGGCTTTCAGGTGTCCCAAAAGCTACATGTAGGTGTGGGAAGGCACATTTGAGACCACATCAGCTGTATTATTATCATTTTCTTCATATTTCCAGATGTCTCTAGGAGCTCCATGCTCCCACTTAGGGCACAATTCCTTCTTCATTCCCTTCCACCACAACAACCCTGCGAGGTAAAGTGAGTTGAATGAGGATCACTTAAGCCGACGAGGGCTTGTTCCGCCGATCGGCCCTGGAGTCCCGCCTGACGGCGCAACTTTGCAGCCTTCCGCCTTTCCTTTATTTATTTTTATTTATTTATTTTTGTCAATTGCTTACAAAATAATAGATATAATTAAAAACATAGTTATGAATACATGGATACATATAAGAAAAATAAAAAATAAAAATAAACAATAGGACAGGGACGGTGTACGCTTATGCACGCCCCCCTTCTCCGACGTCTGCCTCCGACATCTGCCTTCCTTTTCGTCCCCGTCCGCCTTTCACGCCTACAGCGGTCCTGAGGGGAAAAGCGGCCTTTATTTTTTAAAAAGACAACAACAACCACCCCACGGGCGAATCTATGGGGGCTCCAACGTGCTCGGGAACGCCTGCGCCATCCCAGCCTCCTCATCCTACCCTCCGCTTCCGACGTCGCCAAACGAGGCGGACGGAAAATCAGCGCGAAGAACAACACCCTCCCCTTCCACTAACCCACCCACACGCCGCCCCGCGATCTGCGGCTCCACCCCCTTGGCATCCCGGTCACTTGGTACGTTGTGCTGCCGAAGTCCCAGTCCGCCCTGCTGGAGCCAGACAGCCGGAGTTACGGCCGGTGGAGTCCCCGGAGCTGCACCACTCCCTGGGAAGATGAGCAGGCGCTTGAGAGCGGCGGGAGTGTCGGCGGCCGATCTGCTGCTGTGAGAACCTCCTTCTGCCCGGGAAGGTCGTGGACTATCCAGGCGAATCGGCGCGTACTTGCCCACGGAAAGCGATGTCTGGACCCGAAGCCCATCACGGCCACAGCCGGAGGCTGCCCTGTAAGTCCGTCCTTTTGCCTGGGGAAAGCCAGGGTGGGAGTGGACGCCCTCCCGCCCCTCGTTTTTCCGAACCGAAACTTTTTATTAGGCATTTCTGAGAAACGAGAATGCCAAGGCAGAACCGGCCCAAGGCGCCTGGCAGGTGAAATGTATGGAGGTGAGAAGATAGGGCTTCCTTTCAGCCTTCCAGGATCCGGCTCCTCTCCAGACTTCGCCTGCAACAACTCCCCGCCTTGCCCAGCCAGCAGGTGTAAGGAGGTTGTGTAGTAGACTAGCCTGGAGTAATGGGGGCCAGGCTGAAGACAAGCCCATTTTCCCTTCATGCCCCCAGACCCCAGAGTCCTTGCTCCCAGCTGGGATGCGGGGCCAGGTTTTCTCCCTATATAATACATACAGAGAAAAAAGAGCTTTTTTTATCGGAGAGCAGGACTCCCCCCTCCCCCCCATTTCCTGCCCTGGGATATTGTGGGGGAAAGTAGCTTGACTAATCCATCATTTCTGGAGTGGGGGAATGGCTTGGGCACAAGTACCAGGATCCATACCTCTTGATTAACAGCAGGAAACCATCTTAACCATTGCCTTCTAATTTCAGTTCATCTCTTAGGATTTTGTCACTTCAACAACAGCCCACAGCATTTTTTTCTGGAAACAATCTGACTCACAGGCTTGCATATATATTCCCATTTGAATCTAATTTACATAGCTACATCATTTATGTACTGTTGAGAATTTCACACACACCCTCTTCTTAAGAAATTATAACTCAATCAACCTCAACCAGAATCAGAATGGTCCAAACCCCCATCCTTATTGGTTCCTGCCTACAAATAATTCTCCTTCTAACCTTAGACTTTGTGCCTCTTCCAGTCTCTTCCTGATTTGCATTCAGGAAATACCTATAGTCAGATCTAAACAATGCCCCCCACCAATTCCCACCCTTCTATGAAGTGTGTATAAGGTGTTTAGTTTACATTTGAGAGGCGTTTATGGTAAAAATAAATAAATGTGTTCGTTGGTGTTTTGGCTGAGAAAAATACATTTGATACCCCAACTCTCTCTCTTTCTCTTCCTCTGTGATCAGTGTAAGAGCACAAATTGTAAAGGTGTTTTTTTTCCTGGCAAAGAGAAAGTATTGTTCTCATGGGTGGGTGTTTATATGTAGTTTCACAAGTGCAAGTGGTGGATAATTGCTATGAGACAGCAAGATAAGAATAAAAGCAATTAGCCCACTCTGCATTTCCTCCCTCTCGTTTTTAGTCAGAGTATGCCCTCCTCACCTCCCCCATACCTTTCTAAAAAAATACCCTACACTTAAGAAGTTAGGCTTCTTGTGTGGATCATCCCAGCAATTTCAACTTTGCTCTTCATATGATATCCCTGCTTGCTCTGATTTAAAGGAGACCTTTTAACTCTAGTGGATGATGGATGGGGTCCCTGAGCTGGTGTGATAATGATGTCATGTTCCTGACAAGATACTTGCCACCCCCATGAAAAGCTATGCGTGAACTCTTATTCCCAAGAAAAACATCCTCTTCTGTAACCTCTCTTCAGAATGTACTCTCCATATCAATTCTGATGAATGTACGTAATTCATACATTGATAACATTTTTTACATTGCCATCTATAGAGAAGCTAGATCTATCTTTGCATCATTTCATACACAAATATACCATATACTCCCTTTTCTTAGATATTCCTTCACTTTACAATCAGCCTTTGATATTAACAACATTAATTCTTTTAAGAATATAAATGTATTTTTTTTAATGCAAAGATGTATTTAATGTCATGTCCAGTTCTATCTGTAGGCTACGGGGTTTTTTTTCCTGGTTGGATGAAGAGCTTTCATTTTTAGATGAGGTTGCTAAAACAAGTCTCTTTTGATCTCCATTTAAAGTCTTTTTCCCTAGGCTCTGGAGAGAAATTGAATAACATTGGCTTTTGTAAGATCTATTAGCCTATGGCAGATTACTGAAATAGTTTAAAAGGTCCCTGGTAGATTTCCTTTATAGAAAAAGAAAATAAAACCCTTCTGTTCCATAAAAGATGATAGATAAGCATGTCTTAGGAATAATATGCATGGGAAGAAGAACTGGCCTAAAACTGGAGATTTAAAATCCATCCACAATTCCCATTTGAATATTCCTCTTAACCTTCTTTTGGGAAGCAATACTGCAGTAAAAGCATAACTCAAACTGCAGGGAGATGAAGTACAAGAAAAAGAGGGAAGGAAGGAGGGAAAACCGAAAAGCTGATGTTTTGAGAGAAACAGGGTGAGGTGAAGAAAAATTGTCCTGTGACCCTTCCCCCTGCCTCAAATTCATAATTAAAGCTAGACTGGCCTATCCTCAAAATCCTTGAGTCTTGAAGCTAAAAATATTTTCACAGGCCACAGCTCTCTCTCCAACAGAGACAACATCATAAGACCTGGCTATTTACAGGGCCACGAGTTGCTTTATATAGAACGAAGAGCAGGATAAAACCAGGAGCACATTAGAGAGGTTGATGGGAGGGCAAGAGATCTTCAAAACCCCAAGGACAACAAAAGGAGGCAGCTTCCTTGTCATGCTTGAACCAAGCTATGAAGCCAGCATCCTTGCCTGGTTCAGTCTCAGAGCTGTCTTAATTCTCTAGAGGATTGAAGTATGCTCTATATTAAAAGAATTTCCTGTTCCTCAACTTTTTCTGCTCTCTTGGTGATTTTATTTTGATTGAAGGAACAGTGGTGGTGGGGATTAAATCAGGAGCCTAAAGGGAGTATGTAGAAAAGAAGGGTGGGTGGATGGGAAAGAAAGGTGTCCAGGGTCAGATTTGGATGGAAATCACATCTTTGCTGAAGAAAATTTATCCCTTAATCCAGATACCTGCAATTGCATGCAATACAATTAAAGCATTCTGCACCGATAGAAATGCTATCTGTAAAACCATGTAAATGTAGAAAGCAACAATCCATTGATATTCATGCAGTAAATCTAGAATCATTCCTGACAGTAGCTGTGTTCAATGGGTTGAATAACCTTAATAGTGGGATTTAACCTCCAGATGACAAATAATTTATGGTTCCTATAGGTCAGCATTCCTAATCTGAAGACTTCCAAAATGTGTTGAGTTTGCAGTATAGAATTACCAACTAGCCAGAGAATGCATTCTCCATCCCAAAAGAACAGAAACGAGGACCAATGGTTGTTTTTCAGTGCTATGCATTCTTCCACTGGAAATAAATGAGAGCCAGGTTAAAGTGCTGGACTAGGAGAGGAAAAAGCTGAGTTATGCTATCTTTCTGCTATCTGGGTGATTTTGGGCTCGTCACTCCCTTTCAGCCTTAGGAAGAAGAAATGGATGGCAAATCATTTCCAAAAACAATGCTTAGAAATCTGTAGAGATTTGTCCATGGAAGGAGTCAAGGCTTTCTTAAAAGAGAAAAAAGAAGAGGAAAAATCCCCCATGACTTGCAAAAATACATCAAATTATATAAAAAGGAACAAATATATACCATTTATATGTAGATCCTTGACTTACGACCACAATTGAGCCCAAAATTTATGTTGCTGAGTGAAACATTTGTTACATGAATTTTGGGCCATTTTACGACCTTTCTTGCCACAGTTGTTAAATGAATAATTGCAGTTGTTAAGTTAGTAACACAGTTGTTAAGTGAACCTGGGTTCCCCATTGAATTTGCTTGTCAGAAGGTTGCAAAAGGTGACCACATGACTTGGGACACCGCAACCATCATAAATATGAGTCAGCTGCCAAGCATCTGAATTTTGATCGCATGACTATGGGGATGATGCAATGGTCGTAAGTGTGAGAAATAGTCATAAGTCACTTTTTCCAGTGTGTTTGTAAGGTTGAACGGTCACTAAACTGTTTTAAGTTGAGAATTACTTGTACTGTCAACTTCCCATTTTTCAGCCATGAAAGTTTAACAATGTCTGTGAGTTTGAGGGAACCAAATTCTGTGTGTATGTTACTAGTAAACATAAGTAATGTTTTATCATGGCATAGCAATAACAGGCTCAAAAAACTCCTTTTCATACAAGTGCAAGCCCTTTGTTTTATATAGTGGCTGAGTGTGCAAACCATGAGCCACTATCATTAGCAATTGTAATTTAAACTAACCTAGCCATTCATGGCTTGGAAAGAATTCCAGATGTTACGTAGTGAGGAAAGGTAAAAAGGTATCTCTTCCAAACGGGATGTTTTAACCTTAAGGAGCTGCATTTTGAAACTCAAAAGATTTTTAAGAGCCTCTTTAAAGAAGAAAAGCCCACCATCGTCTCTTGGATGTATGCCTATGGTAACAACCCTTCTCTTCCATCTCCTTTCATTCATACTGCCTGCCTCACAATAGGCGTTTTGTATTCAGGATCTAACTGGACAAGAAAGAATGACAAAAGCTACCACTCCCAGCTGAAATCCAGTCCAACAATTCTGATAAGTCTTGTCCAAAACAAGACTTTTACTTCCTGGTCTCAAGACAGCCCAGTAAAATCTAAGCCTGCCCTAGAACTCTTAGGTTAAATATATCCTCTGTTCCTGATACTTCTGCAGTTTTTAACTGCCAGATTTGGCAGGTTTTCTTGCAAGTTTTATTTCTGCTGAATTTTTTTTTTAAAAAGGTTTTATTGTAAGACAGCCTTGCTAGACCAGGTAGCTAGCAGATGTGTGGAAATTTCAATTCCCCAGCTAGGGTGGCCATGAGTTTAGAAGGCAAGAGTCTATAGAAAGCTACTCTATGCTGTTCTCATTTGGTGTATTGATTTAGTCAAGACTGCTAAAATAACACCTTATTTATACTGAAAGAGATACAAGCTAAGGCGATAAAGATGATCAGAGGAATGATTCCTGCCCTACCAGGAATGGTTGAAGGATCTATGCTTACTCTTTAAGAAAAGACAGGTGGGGACTTCCGGTTTGAGCTTCTTCAGCAACAGGCCGAAACCTCGTCTCTGCGAGGCTTCGATCCGTGCTAACCGCTGGAGCGCCCCGAGCCGGC